ACAGACTACAGGACACAGAACAAAATAGCTGTTCTCTCTAAACAGCCCATGATATTAATACATGTAATATTGAGCATGCTGGATTTAGTAATAGGGCTGTTGGCCTAGAGTCTACGTTCAGGTTGTCAAATCGTTTTATTTGGATATATGTAAGAAATTCTAGTAACCAAACACAAACTTTCTGATGATAATTGGAAGTACATTAGTTGAGTAAATAGAAATGTGTTAAATGTTTCACAGATACATTTTACAGTCATAAAATTTCAGTGCATATCATTTTATAAACTCAGAAACAGGTGTTATCTGGAGGAATTTTTAAAGAAAGGAAGAAAGGAAGGGATAGACAGAGAAGCCTGTCCTTATCTTAGCTATTATATTCGCTACTTCTTTTTAGTTACTCAGTTAGCATTTTTTTGACAAAACAACAAAATGTTTTTTAAAAACTATAATAAAAAGCAACAATGATAGAATTTTCATTTAAGTGAAAGTTATCAGTGAATGTCACTCCAACCGTGAGGCGCTTTGCACAGAGAACAGGCATCTTAGACGGGACGCCCGTCTAATGCTACAGCGTTGTTCCGGGGTAGGTCTGGAATCCTTCATTTTGCAGCTGTAGACACTGGGTCTGTATCCAGAGCTGAAGAGGATGCAAAGGCTCACAGTAACTTCATTCAGGCATGAGAAACTGCTGCTGGGACCGTGGGAACCTTAGAGCAGGCAGCAAACTCATCTACACCGCCTAAGGTGCTAAACTCTTACTGTTGGACTACACAGAAAGGCAAATGTTAACCACCAATCAGGGAGTGGAGTTAGGAGAGGAAGATGAGCCCTCAATGCTTCTCTTTCCTAGAGTGAGCATTTCATTTTCCTTCCTGGGAGAGGGTTTTGGTTTTGACAAATAACGCCAAAATCAATGAACCTTTAGCTCACTTAGTACAAACTCTTTCCTGCCTGCCTCTGACAATTGAAACTGGGAACTCCTAAAGACCCACACCTTATTAAGCAGCCCTTAGTCACTACTATGACTAAAGAGCCACCAAACCGTGACTTTAAAAGTACCAGTGACAACCACCACCAGCCTTTCTGTCCGAGTTTGGTAGACAACTACTTGGCCCAGCATATTTTATAATATTGCAACTATTTTCCTAACGAGAAGTTCTATGAGGAATCCATGTATTCCTTGACTAGATTTCTCAATGTTGTGATGACCACAAAGAACCACATCGTGTCTGCTGCCAGCACACCCTGAAAAAGTATAAAACACAGAAGCAATTCCATCATGAAGCCCTTCGCAGGAGGAAGAAGAGTCACTGCTAACAACCAGCAGGTAACAGGAAGGACCGCTACAGTCTTAGGATATTTCACCTGAACACCTTCCCTAAAGCCATAACAAAACACTGAGGCCCATATTAATGGAAGCATTTTCCTCATTGCCCTAATTGGCCTCTGAAACTGTGATGGAGTGCTAGCCTTTTGGCTGGGAGAGGAAAGGTTTGATTGGGCTTACAGGTCACTGTCAATTGACGGAAGACAGGGCAGGGAAGAAAAGCAGGGGCATGAAGCAGGAACCACGGAGGAACATTGCTTGTAGGATTGCTTCTCTGGCTTGCTCAGCTACCTTTCTTATAAAGCAAAGGCCTGCAGGACTAGAGATGGCACCACGCACAGTAGGATGGGCCTGCCTGCATCAGTTAGCAATCAAGAAAATGCCCTGTAGACATGGCCATGGGACAACTGATCTAGACAATTCTCAACTGAGGTTCCCTCTTTCCATGTATACACATTGGCAACTGGTTAGGGTTTCTGTTGCTGTGATGAAACACCATGACCAAAAAGCAAGTTGGGGGAGGAAAGGGTTTATTAAGCTTACACATATTCATCTCTGTTCATCTAAGGAAATCAGAACAGGAACTCAAACGGGGAAGGAACTGGGAGGCAGGAGCTGATGCAAAGACCATGGAGGGGTGCTGTTCCCTGGCTTGCTTATTATGCTTGTTCAGCCTGCTTTCTTAGAGAACCCAGAACCACCAAGCCCAGGCATGGCCCCACCCACAATGGGCTGGGCCCTCTCCCATCAATCACCAACCAAGCCCTACCAGCTTACCCACATACAACTCAGTTGTTTTTTTTTTTTTTTTTCACAGTCAAGTCTTCTGAAAACATTTTCTTAATTGAAGTTCCCTCCTCTCAGATGACTTTAGCTTGTATCAAGCTGACATACAACTTTCCGGCACAACAACTGAAATTATGACACTAATGATGAGTCCTGCTTATGTGTCTGGTTTGAGCCACATTAGTCTACACACGTTCCCTGTGTCTGGATGTTTAAGAAGAATAGCAAATGATTTCCTGGAGAATACAAGCAACCTCTTCTAAAGGCCTTTGTCAATACTGGTAGGTCATTATCCAGTACCAGGAATATGATATGAACTATAAGGGAAATCTGGGCAAAATGTACTAACTTAGAGGTAATTACACATATATGCAAGGTAAAGGACACTGGAATTCTGATTCACTTATGCAAACTATAATTTTTATTTATCCACTGAAGCAACTGAAGAGCCATAGACTTGAAATCCAGGAAAGTCTCACTTCACCAACTATCATAATTGCCTTACAAAACAATGTCAAATAACATTATACTGTCAACTTCTAATTATGCATGTGAAGAGAGCCCAGGGATACAAGGATAATTGGCATTTACAATTAATCCTCAAACTTCATTTTGACTAATAGTAAAGCCTCTCCCATGACTAAATCTCTTCCCTCAACACTGAATGTAACACAATCAACTAGTTAGATGTTTGACTTTGCTATCCCCTGGCTATCCTTCAGTTGAAACATGAAATAGTAATCAGTCAACCATGAAGAGGTGGAAGAAAAACACAGAACTGACATAATTAACGAATTTGATAATAAAATCCTGAAAATTAGATTTGCTTACGCTTGCAACTGTGACTTAAAGCCTTCCTTGTAAGATCTGTGTATAACATATGAACTCACAGAGAGTTTGGCAGAACACACAAGACCTGTACAGCTTCAAGCCAGATGGGAAAGAAAAGTAGACTCGGGGTTCCAACCCTAACCAAGAAGCTATCTGCAACTGACACTGGTTGGCAAGGGAAAAATCAGTTTTTGTCAATGGTTTCACTGGGTAATATCACATTCCAGATCAGGCCTAATGCCCGGGAGTAGCTTCAAAACACAAAATGAACTCAGAGGTATCTTTGTAGGCATTTTGTTTCATTTTGGTTTTTGCCTGTTTGTTTTGAATTTCATTTTGTGGGGTTTTTTTTTTGGGGGGGGGGTTGCTGTTTTTTATTATTTGTGGATTTTCTTTCTTATTTTTGTTTTTGTTTGGGGGGAACCATAAAATTGGGTGGGGAGGGAGATGGGCAGGATCTGGGAGAAGATGCAGAAGGAGATAAAGATGATCAAAATATATTGTATTAAAAATGTTAATTAAGAAAAGAAGGGTGTGTAAACTGAAGCATGTTGCAGTCTTAATTCAGTGTTCTTCTGGAAAATTCCATAAATCTGATTTTCTTGTTTAAAGTTTCATTGTGTAAGAATCCTGTATTTATTTTACAAATATAATCTACAAAATGTTATCAAACTATCAGTGTCATGTTAATAACTAAACTATGTCTAGAGAAATCATTTTCATGATGACAAAAATTTCACAAATGTTTTGTTGGAATTCACCAGCAAAGACACTGGAAAATCTTAGGCTTGGTGCAGATGAACTCAGAAATTATAACTTGAATTATTTTTTTTTAACTTTAAAGGGAACCTTCTGGAACAGACAGCCTGTTTGAGCTATGAAAACAGACAATAAAGACTCAATTATAACACTAAGGCACCTACATATTTTATTCATTAAATCGATTTCAAGGTATTCAAACTTCCATCCTATAAAAAATCATTTTGTATCCAATATAATACTGCATGTTTTCTTTAACTTTTCTACTCACTTCTGTGTGAATCCCTAAAATATGGATATATAACTGAGCCTGCTAAAGCTCACAAGAATGGACCACTGTTGGATCTACGAGATCTTAAATTAAGACACCAGGGATTATAACTGTACAGAAAAATAAAGGGAGATGTTTACTGTCTTTGACAGCTTTATGGATAGCCAGCTTTCTTTTATCTTCTGAAAGAAAGAGTTACGTGGCTCTTATTTAACAAACACTGTACATTAATCCAGAATAATTAATGCACCTATCTAGAGGAGGGACGTGTAAGGCCTTACAAAAATTAGTGAACCTAATTATAGGCATAACACTGTTCAACTTTTCTGGTACCTCCCATCATAACTGCTCATCATGACCTGTTGCTTTCTTCCCAATATGTGTCAGCTCATTCCACCAACATTTAGTAGCCCAGTGGCGGGGGCGGGAGAATATTTCACCAGTATTACCACTCAAGAACCAAAACCAAAACCATTAAAGAAGGTAGCCAGCCTTACAGGGGCGAATTATTTAGGACTGCACAATCGGACTCCCTTACAAGACCATGAGTACAGTCTGGGCTTCATTCTTTAAAGCCCAGAGGCACAGATCTTCCTTAATCTCTCTTGAAGATGGGAAATTATTCCGAAGGTATTCTGAGGACTTTTTATTTATTTGTTTGTTTATCTATCTATCTATCTATCTATCTATCATCTATTTATTTATTTTGGACAACCACTAAATCGTAGGAGAACTGACTCAGTTCCCTGAGGCGCCTCGATGTCCCCAACAGCCCTCCATCTCACAGGTCACCAGTGTGAGGGACCTGGTCCTGGGAAGGCTTCCCTGTGCTCAGGATCACGATCACCGAGGAACCTACTCCCCTAGCAGGACTTCCGTGGGCGGCTGGGGTGAGAAGGACTCCGCCGCCTGGGCGTCGCACCGACACGGCACCCGGTGGATGGGGCGGTCCGCGGGCGCCCCCCGGAGGGTGCCCCGCGCGCGGGCCCCGTGCGTCCCCGTCACCGGCGGCCACCAGAAGGATACGCTCCAGGTAGTAGGCACCATCGGCGGACACCGGCTCCGCCGCCGCCGCCTCTGTGTTGCCGGAGGACGACAAGCCAATGCCCAGCGCCTCCTCCAGCACCCGCAGCTGCGGGACCCCACGCGGAGCAGCCATCCCCGCAGCCGGGACCACGGTGCACCACGGTGCCCCACGGTGCCACCACCGACCCGACCGGTGTGGCACCTCTCGCGAGATCTCGGGACCCTTCACCCCCCCCTCCCCCTCTAGCCAACAACCCGAGGAGCCTAGTCCTCTGCGTGTCCGCGGTTACTACGGCAACGCGTTGCCTAGTTACCCACACGACGCCCCGCGCCGCTTGTAGCTGAGGAGACCGAAGGCCACTGACTCAGGGGCTTAGATGACTTTTTTTTTTTTTTTCACCCAGGCTACTTGTTGGGGTTTTTGGGGTTTGCTTGGTTTGGCCTTTTGCTTCGACGCCGTTCTTTCTCGCTTCTTTTTCTTCCTGGCTTTCCTTTTCTCACGCCAAACATCAGTCCTCAATTTTTAGATGGGTAAAGAACCCCAAATGTTTCCAGTGGGGGGCAGATTTAAGAAAGGGCGGTGGTGGCGCACGCCTTTAATCCCAGCACTTGGGAGGCAGAGCCAAGCGGATCTCTGTGAGTTCGAGGCCAGCCTGGTCTAAAAAGTGAGTTCCAGGAAAGGCGCAAAGCTAGACAGAGAAACCCTGTCTCGAAAAATCAAAAAAAGAAAAAAGAAAAAAAAAAGAAAGAAAAGAAAAAGAAAGGGGAGAATACTCCTCTCTCCAACTAGAGGAAGGAGGGGTGAGTTCTAGAAACCATTATTGGCCTAATGAGGAGCTGCCCAGTGTCCCTCAGACCTTTAGCGATAAAGGATGGTGGTGCTCACCTGTATTACACCCTTTCTAGCAATCTTTTAATTCATGTATGTGGACATCTGTTTTGACTTTGGCCTCATACGCACGGACTTGGAATAGTCCCAGTCCCATCAAATTATAGCATTGATTTTTGCTGAGGTAAACACATGTCCATAAAAATTATGAGCTACCTATGACCCTAATGTGAAGTTTTTACATGATATTTGGGCTAGAAAATGTAGTTAAGAGCTAAATGTGCTTCCTCTGGGTTCCGGAAGGGGGCAAGGAGGAAGGGGAGGAGATAAATGGGAGAAAGAGACAGAGGTGAGGGAGGGAGAAGAGAGAGAATTAACTGATTTGTCCAGTTATGTGTCTTACTGCTGTGGCTGGAACTTAGTGTTTATATAGTGTATGCAATCAGGCATCATTAAGGCCACTTTTCTTTCAGGTTCTTCTTACTCTACATTGCTTGATGGAATTCCAGATGGTAACTACATAAAAGCTCCCATTTATTAAAAGAGAGACAGACAGAGAAAGACGGGGAGGAAGAGGGACAGGCAGAGAGGAGAGAGAGGGGGTGGAACTGGTAACTTCCTAGGGGGCGATTGAGACCCCCAGTGTTGGAAACCGGAACTAAACAAGAGCCCATTTCCATCATGACTTAGCTCTGGCCATACCACTCACTGCCTGTAGGCCTCAGCCTCCTCATTTGTAAGCTGAGGATAATGTCCCCTACCTCAAATGGTTGCTATTAGCTGTAAATCAACAAAGCATTAGGAACCCATTCAGAGCATACAGCAATAAGAAATATGAGCTTTTTCTTTTAAACATGTTTGTCTTGGTTTTGAGTTTTAGAACACAGGACACAATGATGTTTAAACAGTTCAAGTCGCTGTCATTTTCTCACATCAAACATTCTGAGTGCTCATTAAATGCATGGAACTGAAAATACAGAAGAGGAATTCTGAAAATGGGCATCCATGGACGTATAGGGAGTCTTCTCTTCATTTCCAAGGAAGCATGACCTCAACTATCAACATGCTTAGCTGTAAACAGAGCCTTGAAAAGTGACCTGGGTAGTCAGGGCCATGCACTGTTGATGTCTAGAAGGGCAAGTAGAAACATGAGACCGACAGGGAGCTTCTAATGTTTAGTTTATTTTATCTGCTACAAAGTCTTGTTGTCTTTGAACATAGTGTGTCCTCTTCTACAGACACCTTGATATCCAAGCTCTTCCTCATTGTCTTAGGTAAATTAAGCTTCCTGGACTACATTCTGTTTTTTCTTTTTATTTATTTATTTATTCATTCATTTATTTATTCATTTTATTAAATGTTCTATTCCTTTTACATACCAACCACAGATCCACCTCTCCTCCCTCCTTCTGCCCGGCCAGCCTCCCCCCACAACCAACCTCCCATTCCCACCTCCTCCAAGGCAAGATCTCCCATGGAGAGTCAGCAGAGCCTGGTACAGTCTCTTATAAAGACTTTTAAAATCTATCTACCTAGGTATAAAGTAAGTGGGGGGGGGGGGAGTAAAATATATAAAGAGTTCTTTCCCAGTACTTGGCAGGCAGAGGCAGATGGATCTCTGTGAGTTTGAGGACAGACTGGTCTACAGAGTGAGTTCCAGGACAACCAGGGCTGTTACACAGAGAAATCTTGTCCAAAGAAAAGTTCTTATCATTTCTGATATATCAGATATTTTCTGTAAGTAATGTAAGTAAAATTTGCTTAAAATATTGTGACTGTGATGAGCCCAAATTGAATATTTGTAAAGAGCTTAATATATAAGAATTGCTATATGGTAAAGCACAATTTTTTTTTATTTTAGAAATAGTCAGGACTTGAATATAAGATACAGTTTAACAGAATCATGAAATACAAAGTATAGCCAGTATTAACTATATAAGATAGAGAAGTCAGAGATACTTGTCAAAAAGTCTGGAAATGAAAAAGAGGTATTTTACACCCCAAAAGAGAAAATTTGTGAGTCTCATTATGTCAGGCTTCCAAATAACCAAGGTATTAATTGAGTTACTAATCCATTTATGTCCGTGTAATAGATTTCAAATTATAAACTCACCCAAGATCTGTCGCCTATTACAATTGAAAGTATGTTCCACAGAGACCTGATCATTAATGTTTCAAAAATTTCAAATTAAAAGAAGTTTTAGTATTTGTGTAAGTTCTTTGATATCTACAATGGATAAACTATGTTTTAAAGAACAATTTGATAACAAAAATTTAACAAACATAAAAAAATAATGCTTTCAGATTTTAGAAAAAGAAGGAATCTGTGACGACTGCTACTCTCTTAGAAGTCCTCTGTCTTTGCAAAAAATGCATTTGAAAGCTGCCTTGCTGTGTTTTGGAATTGCTAGTCTGTAGATACTGCTTTCATTTAAAGGGAGTGGGAAAAGCTTACTAAGAGAACACACACACACACACACACACACACACACACACACACACACACAGACCTTTAGATTACAATAGCGGTTTGAATTATGATATATTTTTATCCTGTAGATGTTCTTTTTTGGGGGGTATATTTTACATGCTTCCTTAAAGTGGGGATGAAAAAAAAAAAGAAGCCAAATGCCTTAGCATTTTGATGAATGAGCAGGAAACTACTTTTTGCTTTGACTGTGCTCCCAAAAGAGGTAAACAAAGAAAACAGCGGAGACAGTCAAAATGAAGCAACAATTACAAAGGACAGCAAATGTAATCTCCTCCCAGCCTAAATGCTCCATTTATGCAAAAGTGAAATTATTTTTAAAAGCAAAACCAGAAAGCAATCTGGCAATGAATACACTCTGCACGTGTATAGTTTCAAAGCAGAAAATACTCACATGCAAATATGTTGCAAAGTACAATTCAATTATCAAAGATAATGGCATTCATTTGCTACCAATACAGCCCAAGCCATTTATTGATGTACCTTTTTATACAAGAAGCTTTCTTATTTTCTTTCAAAATCTCGCAGTAAGTGGTAGTCAGGTTTAGGATTTCTGAATTCATGGAAATAGTAGCAATTGTGCTGAAAAATTATCATTTTTTTTTCAAGAACACATGGCACATTTTGCCATCTTACACTAGCATCCATTTGAAAATCCATTCCTCCTATATTCTTTCACTATGTGATTGAAACAGAGTCAGTCAGTTCTCAGTGGTGAGTAGCACCTGACACAAGCTTAACCCAAAAGAACTTCTCATTTCTTTTGGCTACAGCAAGACCCTCTGATTTCCAATATAATTCCTGGCTTCTAGTACTTTCAAATTAAAAGGCATGAGGGCTTCATGGAAAAAAATAGCTGATTCTAGGCTTTGCCCAGGGAGGTACAAAAGGACTCAGAAGAAACTTCACAGTACCAGAAAGTTTTTAAAAAGTTTCTCCTGCTACAAAGAAAAAAATAATCACAATGATGGAGCATTATCAAAAAGATACAGCCATCCATTGAAGGAGCTACAAGGGGCAAAGTTGGGCCAACTGTTAATAAAATAGTGTTGAAATATAAGCCAAAGTACAAAATTAATATCTGAGTCCATGCTGTTATTAGTAAATGCTTAAACAAATAAATGAGAGATGAAAAAATAGCCAATAAAGAACAACTACCAAAAAAGTAAATAAATCCGTACAAAATTGGGAACCATATATATAACAAAAGGTCAGTAAGGAAAAAAAAGCCTGAACAAAGCCATATGACACTAGAAGTCTACAAAAATACCATTGACTTTGCTTTGTGTTGGTCATTTGCTGCTGTGTATGGCGCCTACCCTTAAGTGTGGTTAATATACCCAGAGAGACTTCATTGTTGAGAACTAATTTTGCCTTTGTAAGCTGATGTTAATTGGAGGTAGCTTCATGGTCGGGATATCACTGTGCACTTTTAAATTGTGAGTTATACATAACAAGTCCTACAGAAAACAGTATAGTAATGTAGGGGGATTTGTGGCTTACAGTTTTAAGATACTACTATAAATAAAAGCAGGTACATACACATACACACATAATATATATCATCTACATATATGATATAATATATACCACTGTAAATAAATTCAGATATATATATATATATATATATATATATATATATATATATATATATAAAACCTACATGTGATAATCTTTGTGTTTATTAAATTCGGTCTTTTTTAATATCTTTTTTAAAAGATTTAATTATTATGTATACAGCATGTATGACTGTAGGCCAGAAGAGGGCACCAGATCTCATTACAGGTGGTTGTGAGCCACCATGTGGTTGCTGGGAATTGAACTCAGGACCTCTGGAAGAGCAGCCAGTGCTCTTAACCTCTGAGCCATCTCTCCAGCCCCTTAATATCTTTTAT